GGGCGGCGGGGCGATCTGGAAGCCCTCTGGCCCGTTGGGGGGCTGGGCCTTCTGAAAAGGTCCGCCCCCTGTTGCCTTCCTCCTGGGCGCGCCGCCGAAGCAGCCTCCATCACCTAAGCTCGACCCGCGACCGTGCACGACTGCGGCGGCGAGGACGTCGTCGTCCACGACAGCGTCCGCCAGCGGCGGACGCTGCCGCGCCTCGACTGTCATCCCCTCCCGTCCCTCGTTTCCTGTCCTTTCGCCCTCGTCCCTCCCTCTCTCCATTCCCTCGTTCACCCCCCCCCCCCGTCCCGCTCAGGCCCCCCCCCAGGCCCAGAAGTGGCCCTCGGAGGCCGAAAGCTGCAGGAACACTGGCAGCCTCGATCGAGCCGCCAAATTTCTGCGTAGGGGTGTTCAAAAGCCGAACCCCCAGACCTGTCCAGAGGCGCGTTCAGGCTAGAGGTTCGAGGCCCTCGAGGCTAAAAAAAAAAACACAACGACAACATCAACCAGGTCGCGAAGAACTCTCGCTCTTCCATCTTCGCGTGCCCTTCAACGGTTGAACTTCAACGTGGAATGCATACCCCCGAGACCTTGACATCCGCTCACTTGGTATACGAACGTATCGGGGATCCGCTGACCCGGGTCAATCCAGACTCGGGTCAGTCAAGCTGTGCAAGATCCTGCAAGATCCTGCAGAATCCTGCACCTAAGCCCGGGTCAATGCGCCCATGGCTCTGCAGGATCCTGCAAGATCTGCCGCTCTGACGGACCCCCGTTTGCATCGACCCCGGTTTCGAGGCCCCCGATCGTATCCCTTTGGGAAGGGGGGGGGGCTCTGACTTTATGACGAAGCATCATGTCGACACCGGGAAAGGAAGCGTGACGCCGGCAAGAAATGGCACCCGACACCGGGAAGAGAAGCCGACGCCGGGCGGGCGCACCGTGGCGGGCGGACTGGTAGGGCCCTGACGGCCGGGTCGGAACGGCGGGCCCTCACGGGCGACTGGGCGGGCGGAGCATGAAACCAGGATTAGGTCAGGCATGTCCCCCTACAGGCGGAGTTTAGACGAAAAATCAGAAATGGTCAGGAATCACTACAAAGAGAGAGAGAGAGATTCCTCTTCCTATATATATTCACAAGCCCGGGCGGGGGGAAAACCCGTCCCCCCCCCAAAAGAAAAAACGACTCCCGGGATCTGGGGCTTTAGGAACCTCCAGACGGGCCTCGAAGCGGCCCCCCGTCCTCGCAGGGCGTTTTGCCAAGCCTTTCCAGCACACCTAGGGCGATCAGCGGTGTCATCGGAGACGTCCCAGAGACCCCCAAGACAGCACAAGAGCGCTCCAAGAGTGACCGACGTGACCTCAAGATGGTCCAAGAGGCCTCCAGGACGGCCCCAGAGAGGCCTCCAAGAGCACTCCCAAGAAGGCCCCCCGAGACACAAATAATTGGTTTTCTGTGAGTTTTTGGTGAAGTCTGCGGTTCTCCTCCGTTCGGCTTCCCGACGCTCCAAGACGGCGGTCTTCTGGGCGTTCGAAGCCGCCTGGGAGGCTCCAAAATCGCCCCACAACCATCCGAAAGGGCTTCCAGGCAGTCCAAGGGAGCCCCAAAACGGCACAACACGGGTCCAAGATGGCCCTCAGAGAGCCCCATGGCGGCCCAAGATGGCCCAAAGACACCCTCCGTAGCATTCCGAATCGTGACCCAGTCGTTCAGGGAGACCGCGGTTGGAGGCAGGGTGGCCCGAGGAAGCCCCCGGAGGCCCCCAGAATACGCCCAGGAGGCCTCCAGAAGGCCGTAAGAAAGCCTGCAACAACTTTTGTGAGGCCCCCAGAGGCTCTCCAAGGAGGAGCCTCCGCAAAAAAGAGCTGAGGAGGATGGGGAGTGTGCGCAGTGTATGGCGAAAATAAGGAAACAGAAGCATGGAGGAAGGATAACGAATAACATTATCATAGCGGCGATGTGGAAAAGGCAACGAGGATTTATCGCTAAATTGTCGGTTTGACTTTCCTGCTATTCCGCCTGCATACCAAACTTCGAGGACCAAGTTGCATGGCGCGAAGCGCCACTGCAGCCTTGTATATATATATATATATATATAGATATCCCTCTTCCTATATTTTCACAAGCCTGGGCGGGGGGAAAACCCATCCCCCCCCCCAAAAAAAACGGACTCCTGGGATCTGGGGCTTTGGGGCCCTCCGGACGGGCCTCGAAGCGGCCACCGGGCCTCACATGGCGTTTTGCCAAGCCTTCCCAGCACACCTAGGGCGATCAGCGGTGTCATCGGAGACGTCCCAGAGACCCCCAAGACAGCACAAGAGCGCTCCAAGAGTGACCGACGTGACCTCAAGATGGTCCAAGAGGCCTCCAGGACGGCCCCAAAGAGGCCTCCAAGAGCACTCCCAAGAAGGCCCCCCGAGACACAAATAATTGGTTTTCTGTGGGTGTTTGGTGAAGTCTGCGGTTCTCCTCCGTTCGGCTTCCCGACGCTCCAAGACGGCAGTCTTCTGGGCGTCCGAAGCCGCCTGGGAGGCTCTAAAATCGCCCCACAACCATCCGAAAAGGTTTCCAGGCAGTCCAAGAGAGCCCCAAAACGGCACAACACGGGTCCAAGATGGCCCTCAGAGAGCCCCATGGCGGCCCAAGATGGCCCAAAGACACCCTCCGTAGCATTCCGAATCGTGACCCAGTCGTTCAGGGAGACCGCGGTTGGAGGCAGGGTGGCCCGAGGAAGCCCCCGGAGGCCCCCAGAATACGCCCAGGAGGCCTCCAGAAGGCCGTAAGAAAGCCTGCAACAACTTTTGTGAGGCCCCCAGAGGCTCTCCAAGGAGGAGCCTCCGCAAAAAAGAGCTGAGGAGGATGGGGAGTGTGCGCAGTGTATGGCGAAAATAAGGAAACAGAAGCATGGAGGAAGGATAACGAATAACATTATTATAGCAGCGATGCCAGAAAAGGCAACCAGGAGTTATCGCAAAATTTCGGCTTGACCTTCGTGCTATTCCGCCTGCATGCCAAACTTCAAGGTCCAATGTGCATGGCGCGAAGCGCCTCTGCAGTCTTGTATATATATATATATATATATATATATATACTGGGAAAAATCGTCCCCGGACAATTTTTACTATTTTTGAGCACTCCCCCCGTAGAGGGACACGCCCGACTGAAAACCAGGAGGGCGGGCCGTGACGGGCGCGAAAGGCGGGCGGGCGGATCGGGCGCATCGGACATCAGAATTGGCGGGCCTGAATATCGTTTAACCGATCCCCATCCCCAGCGGCGTGGCCTGGGCCCACTGGCCGGTTTACCCCCCAGAATGGGCTGGCCCCTTCGGGCTTCGAGGGGTGTATCCCCAGCTGGGGTGGTGAGATGGTGGGGCTCGGGATGGGGGTGGGAGTGGGGACTTGGACCGGTGAAACGGTACCGAGGAGAGGCGGGCGGGCGGACCGGGCGGATCGGACGTCAGGCTTGGCGGGCGGGATTCCGAGCAGGCAGACGGCCGGAGAGCCGGCGGGCCCTGGAGGGGCGGGACGGGCGGGCGGACCCGGAACGGGCGAGTCGCGCGGGCGGCCCCGCACGGGCGGGTCGGGGCGGGCGAGGCCTGACGGGGGGGCTGGGCGGAGGGGCCAAGCGCGAGGCTGGAACAGCGGGAAGAAGAAGTGGCGCAACCGCAGATCCTCGATTGCGAGACCGCACTTTTCCGGAATCAGTTGCGCGGCTGCAACTCCTCCTTCATTGGCAAGAGCGCGCTTCCTGAGTGACTTACGCAAGTAAGAGGCGGAAGTGCGACTCTAGAATTGATCATTTGGAAGTCTCAGGCGGGGGCGCGATGCTTGAGTACGTTGCGTGGTGGTCCCGAGTGCAAGCGCGACTCGTGAAACAAATTGCCAAGAAAATGCAGGCGGGGGCCGTTGTTGAGACCCCACGTGTGAAGAACATCTTTTTCGCAGCGCGGGGAAGCCACGCGATCACCCCGAATGGCGTGGGGGGAGCCTGACCGAAGGGGATCCGACAAGCACAACGCAGCACGCAGGCCCGCAGAATGTCTTACGCGAATTCGACTCCAAGGAAGCAGAGGAGGAGGAGGAGGAGGAGGAGGAGGAGGAGGAGGAGCGGAAAGTGTGGAATTGCCTTCAGAGCAAACTAGCAGGCGAACGTACAAATTAACACCTGGCCACAACATTGCCGGGTGGACGCAGACGCGTCGTACGCTGCTGGTGGACGCCTGCGGGACGCACTGTGCCGTGGAAGTGAAGAGGAGGAGGAGGACCCAGAGGAAGAGAGGAGGAGAAAGGAAAGGCTACGTACTCTTCAGAAGTGAGACGTCATCAACGGCAACAAGACGTCGATCGACGCCCCTCGGCGAGGCGCAGCCGCTGGAAGGCACTCCGAGGCTGGATAGCCGCCGAGAACCTGCGAAAACGCTCGAACCTCCAGGGTTCGTCTGAGCCCCCGATCCTCCTCTCGGCTATACGCAAGAGTGACAACGGTAAGAGTGACCTTTGGTGCGCGTCATTCGGGCAGCCGCGGGGGAGCCAAACCCAAGCGCGCCAGACGCAACTATCGCATCGCGTTCGGCGATCGGGAGACCCCTATAATTAGGCCCGCACCAAAGGTCCCTCCGGCGAAGGGTCACTCTTGCGGAATAGGAGGAGGAGGAGGAGGAGGAGGAGGAGGAGGAGCCGCAGCAGGAGGAGCAGCAGCAGGAGCAGGAGGAGGAGGGGGAGGAGGAGAATGGGAAAAAGGAGGAGGAGGAGGAGGAGGAGGGGGAGGAGGAGGAGGAGGAGGAGGAGGAGAGGAGGAGGAGGAGAGGGAGGAGGAGAGGAGGAGAAGAAGGGAGAGAGAGGAGGAAGATGAGGAGGAGAGGGGGAGGAAGATGAGGAGGAGGAGGAGGAGGAGGAGGAGGAGGAGGAGGAGGAGGAGGAGTGCAGTCGATCCTCGCTGTCCGCGAGGAAGCCAGGCCGGCAGAGGGCCGGCGCGGCGAGCGACGCCCGGGGAGGGGGGGGGGGCCGCGGTCCGTGAGGCCGCCGCAGCAGTGCAGGCCGATCGCCAGGTCGAAGGCGGGCACGGCGCCGGGCGGCGAGGCGCAGTCCGCGGCGCAGAGCTCGTGCTGCGTGGAGCAGAGGGGAGGAGGAGGAGGAGGAGGAGGAGGAGGAGGAGGAGGAGGAGGAGGAGGAGGAAGATGAGGAGGAGGAGGAGGAGGAGGAGGAGGACGAGGAGGAGGAGAAGGAGGAGGCGGCGGCGGCGGCGGAGCTCTGCAGGTGCACGAGTCTGGCTGCTCTAACACGGGGCATTCGCAGGACAGCTCAAGCGCCTAGAGTGCGCTAACGAATAGCGGTGCATTCGCACGGAGGGGGGGGGCCCGCGCGCCACGGCTAACCCAGCTCGGAGATAACCCTGGGGCCAGGCCACGCGTAGGCCTCGACAAAACTACAAGACTACCAACACACAGGAGAAGTCCCAGGAGCACCCAGGAGGGAACTAAGGCACAGGAACGCAGAACCGAAACTCAAAAGCCACAAAATTGGGCCCAGGAGAGGGGGACCGTAAATTCGGGGCCGAGGCTACCCCAACAGCATTGTCACCGTCGGGCTCCTCCTTCCCCCCTCCTTACGGGGCCATTAATGAGACGGAACATCGCATCGTCAAGGGAGGAGGAAGAGGTGAGGCGAGGACGAGTGGAGGTGGAGGTCCCGCCTCGTGCGGGTGCATCTGCTGGTGGCTGGCGGGCTCGTGCAGCAGGGCGTGGTGGCGCCGCTCTGATGGCAGCGCCTCGAACTGGACGGGTCTCAGAATGCCTCAGGTCACTCACTAGCTGAGGTTCTCCATTCCATCCAGCGCCAACTGCATCAGCCTCTCCTGGTGGGACCGCGGAGGCGTCCCTCTCTTGATGCTCGCCCCGATCTGGACGAGGCCCGCGAGTACTTCCACTTGGATCCCTGACCCGCTGGCTTCCAGGAAGATCTTCATCGTCGCCCGATCGTGCGTGAAGCCTATCTTGCAGAACCTGCAGTGAGAGTCCAGCGTCTCGTTGGTCATGCTCTGGTCGGCCTTCACTGTGTCCATGTAGGTCTTGATTATCGCTGCCGTCTGCGCGCCCACTCGATCTCCTTGCTGCTGCAATGCCCCGACTAATGTGAGCCATAAGTGAGGACGTGGTACACCGAGCTTGTCTAGCTCCACGACCCTCACTCCATTCTGAATCTCTTGGCGATGCTGGAGGCGGAGGCGCTGCGCCTCCTGCACAAAGTACCTGCCCGTCAGCCGCATCGCCTGGCACACTTCGTGGTCCGCCTGCAGGTGCGCGATGTTGAAGACCACCGACTCCAGCGCCGCCAGCCCTTGCCGCGTGCGCAACATCGACCTGACCAGTACTGGCATGATCGCCTGCACCAGTTCGATCGGCATCGGCTCGTCCCCGAGGCGGAGGACGTCTCCGCGGTTGAGGCCGTAGCTGTTGTCGGCCGCGTCGAAGAGCTGCGCTAGCATCTGGTTCATGTTGCTGCCCTGGCGCTGCTGCTGTGGAGGCGGCTGCTGCTGGCGCTGATGCTGCTGCTGCTGCGGAGGTTGTGGCAGCGCGCCTCCCGCCGCCGCGTGCGCCACCGCGGCGGGGACAGGCAGGCCGGCACCCACCGTCAGCCCCGCGCCCGCGGCCACGGGCGGAGGCTCCGCCGCAGGCCCGCGCCTCTGATGGCCTCCTGCTGAGGGGCGCTCCCTGCTGGGCCTCGGGCCACCTCTCCGTGCTGCGCCCGCGCCGCGCTCCCCGCTGCGTGAGCGCAAGGCGGCGGCCCTGTCTGCCCCTCCGACGCTGAGGGCGCGAGAGGCCAGATCCATCAGGCGGAGTCTCGTAGTAAATTAGATCAGGTGCAGGTGGTGCATGTACTTCCCGAATGTGTATCTGTAACTCTGCAAGGCTCTCAAAGGCCCCTATCTTTCTTGTGCCAGGTGGCATGTTACAAACGAAGCATTCTGGGGTCGTGTCAATATCCAGGCAGAAGGGGCAGTGGAGATCAGACGGGACGATAGGCTCTGGTGCATATGGGCTCCAATCTGTGATGCATCGGCGTTTTCGTAGTGACATGGCAACATGACGTTTGGCCGTGACCTCGCTCTTGAACGTGGACATGCAATAGGGGCACTGGTTGGTGACGACGAGCAAATGTGCAGGGACTCGCAATTTATGTGAGGGATGATGCACCTGATGCGCCCGCAGAGCCCCCTTGCTGTAGAACACCTGCCCACAGACAACCTCTGGATCTTCCCCTGGGAGCTCACAAACGTGCGCCTCTGGAGGGCCTTGCTCGGGGTCTTCTGTGTGATTATTACCTCGGGGGCCTCGAACCTCTGGTACCTTTCTGAGCTTCTCTGGATTGAACCTGCAGAAGAGCCTACCCGCGATGTCCCTCGTGAAGATGTCCCGAACCGTGTACTCAGCCAGGAACTCGGGGCCCCCCTCGAGGCACTGCAAGGCCTGAAGGTCCTTCTGAAGCAACTGGGCCCACGGGTTCGCGGACGGGCTCACCGCCCCGTCCTCCAGGAAGGTGTCTACCTCCTCCAAGCCTTCCAAGGTCCCGAAGAGCGCTACCAAGGGCTGCCTGCTGTCCTGGGGAAACTCGACGAACCGTTGCCACTGGCGGAGCCTTCGGACCAGCAGCTCTGCTCGGGCATTGGTGATGCGCATTTTTGTCAGCAGCGTGCTCTCGGACAGGGAGCGGTACCTCAGTCGAGCCCCGTCTGGAGCGCCTTCTATAATCTCAGGCTTGCGATCGCGCAATACTGCTCTCGCGAAGCCCAGGACGACGGCATCCAGTCGGCGGAGGTCCTGCTTACTGAGAAGGTAGGTCTCCAACCCCGAGTATGCAGCCGACAAGATGATGCCTTTAAACGCCATCCTCTTCAATCGAATAGAATGTGTCACCTCCCAGAACCTGCCCATCCTCCTCCATGCTGACCTCGTCGCCTCCACCCTCCGCCTGACTTCTGCTGCACTCCCGCCCGTAAGCTGTTCCATCCCTCCCAGATATAGACTCTCTGCGGCCACCACCCCAGGCACAGCAATACTTTTGGCAAGTAATACTCGAGTGGCCGTGTATGCCCCAGGGCCCGTCATAACTGGCATGCACACCTCTTTGTCGGGGTTCTGTGAAAAACCGCCTCCCTCCTCCAGCTTTCTGTCCAGGATCAGGTTAGACGCCAGGAGTTTTTGCCTTGCTTCTACAGGGTTCGGGGCACACAAGGGCACGGTCTGATGTATATCATCTGCATAGTCTCTGACTGAGACGTCGTGCATCACATTTGTCAGCGCGCACGTCATGATGTTGGCGGCCCTGCAGAGAGGCACTGGTTGGGACTGACGCGCCACTTGGAACAAATCTGGCTGCTCTAGTAGCTCGTCCCGCCAGGCCTCCACAGGGCGAAGAAAGCTGCGCACGAAAAGCTCGCAAGCGTTCCCGTCCCCCATCCCAGATCCATGCGTCGGTTGATAGTACCCCACTTCCTCTCCCGCCCTGATCTCCATCACCGCCTCCTCGTGCCGTTGATGAAAATAGGCACGATCTTGCGGGTGCGGAATAACCTCTAAGACCGTGCGCGCAAGCTCCTCGTGCGAGGTCGAGGGAAACGCATTCGACATGTCCTTTTTGACGAGTATGTGTGATATCCCCAGTTTCTTCAGCCTCCAGCTGTGTATTTTTGCAACCAACTGTGCGTTTTGTCGTGCTCGATGTGCTGCATATCCATGCGCGTGCGGGGGCAGGGGAGGATGATCACTGCGAAGGTAGAGGCCCCGATACCAAGCTTTCCCCATCGGACAATAGCAATGAATAAGACGCATGGCCTTCGTGCCCCGCTTGAGGTTCCCCTTGGAGTGCTGAGAGGTCCTACTCCAGTGCCAGCACGACGGAGTCCTAGACTTCACCCTAAATTGTCTGAATAGCCTCCGAAGTCGCTCCGCGAAATTCGGGCAGTGAACGTGCATGCGGGACTCCACCTTTTCCAATTGTGCTTCCGTCATGTGATGTGTGAAGGGCCACTCTCCCGTGATCTGCTTCGTGACATGCTGTGCAAGCCAGTACCACAGTTCAGCTGGCAACGAGTGGCTCGGAGCATATCTCCTCCTCGCTGCACGGCGTAGCTGCCCTAGCGTGCGGAACCAGTCGTCCCAGGCGAGCGAGGCTGCAGCACCGCCTAGGTCTTCGGGGCCGTCCTCCTGCAGGCGCTGGAGTTCGGGCCAGGCTGGGTCCGACGGCGACTGCAGCACCTTGGCCGAGAAGCCCCCGTCCTTGGCAGAGGCTTTCATTGTCTCCTCCCACTCCTGCAAGCTCGGGCGATACGAGTCTGGGACGTTGCACGCCCGCTGTCGTGGCCCCCTGCACCTCGCTCCAATCTGATAGACCACCTTCCACAAATTGCTGGTGTCGTTCGAGCGTCGATGTAATTCTGCTTCTTCCAGTAGTCTGTCAATGTGAAGCGTGTCCAGGTGTCGTCGCTCTCGCTTGATAAGTCGATCCAACGCCCGAAGTCGCACCCGAACTTCCTCTGCGACACGTGTGGCACTTGCCATGGGCGCCTCCAGCAAAACGGGTTGGCCGCCGCCTCCACGCGGTGTCCCTCGGAGCGATTCCTCCAACCCCGAGGGCCTCTGGGAGGGGGTCGACCACCCAGCGACGACTGAACCTGGCGCGCCAGGCGCGTCAGGATTTTCCCCAGCAGGAAGTCCAGGATGTGGGTCGTCAGGTCGGTCGTGTCGTCCTCCAGCAGTGGCACTTGCCATGGGAGCATCCGGCAAAACGGGCTGGCCGCCGCCTCCACGCGGTGTCCCTCGGAGCGATTCCTCCAACCCCGAGGGCCTCTGGGAGGGGGTCGACTGCCCTGCGACGACAGAACCTGGCGCGCCAGGCGCGCCAGGATTTTCGCCAGCAGGTAGTCCAGGTTGAGGGACGTCAGGCCGATCGTGTCGTCCTCCAGCGGTCTCTTCTGAAACTGATAGCCCCGCAGCGTCTCGCCGATCTCGAATAAAACGTCTTCCAATCAGGGATAACTCTGGTAGCTGGCCAATAGCAGGAACACCAAATCCCAGCTGAGAAGACTGCCACTCCAGATCCTCGGTGTTATTCCTCCAGAAGGCGTGTGCAGGACGCAGTGGGTCCAGTTCAGCAGCAGCAGGTCCCACGACTCTCCGAGGGGCGGGTGGACCGAGAAATTGGACTGGTAGCCTCGAAGTATCAGGGGCCAATCTGGACGGGTGCCTCAGTCGTGTATCTGCCAGTAGGGTCCCAAGTTGTCCCAGAAGTTGTTGGACTTGAGGGTTCAGCCTCAGCTGCCGTCGAAGTTCCAGGAGTTCACGTCGTCGTTCACGGTAATCTCTAGAGAGGCTCCCCTGCTGGTTCGTCTGCTGTAGCTCTGGAAGAGCAGCGGCGCGTAAATCGGTCACGAGTGCGTCCCAGGCCAGGCTGGGGTCAACCTTGTCTGTGTCCCTGTGCCACTCCTGCTGCTTGGACGCGGATAGTCTCTCAATCTCCATAAGTATCTCTGCTCCACTGCCATCGTGCTGGAGCATCTTCCATATCTGATCACGATCCCATCTGGGCTCCCTCTGAGTCGGCGTCGGCGCGGTAAGAGCATACTGGGCCGCCCAGAGGAGTGGCGCGTGATCCCGTGGCTTGACATCTGGTATTATTTGCAACTCTCGCTGGGCACGCCTGAGTATCTTGCACTTCTGTGTGAGCTGGATGGCATCTACTGGCACTAACAGGTGGTCGGGGTTGCTGGTCGAGTCCACGCCGTAGTATGTCGGGCCCGTCGGGAAGAAAGAATCGGCAACTGCCATCCGCTCCATGCGCAGGATGCGCCATATGCCCTCTGAAACCTCGCTCTCGAGGCCTGTGGCGAAACGACCGACGCGACAATCGTCATAGGTAGGCGTCGGCAATCCTTGACCAACCTTCCGAGTCCCAAATTGACAATTAGAATCCAAACCAACCACCACAAGAGACCTTTGCTTACTCTCCTGAATCATCTTATGCACCCAGTCCGTGACTCTCTTGCAGGTGGATCTCCATGCTTCAACTGGCATGTTGCTGGGCGGTGGGTAGTACGCCGTGATCAAAGTCAGATCGAACTGTCCGCTCTTGATTCTCAGTAGGCCTCCTCTTCCTGCGAGATCCGTAGGGGCAGCACGCACCTCGCAGATGTGAGAGTCCCTGATGCACCTCCTTCTCACGAAGATCGCACACCCTGCACTTTTGTTGGTGTGTCTTCCTTTCTCCCATCCGTACGAAAACATCTTGTGATGCGACAACTTCATCGTGCTGACCGGTGCCTTCAATCTCTGTCTGCACGTCGTCGCTGGGCAAAGTATCACATCAGCAAACTTCAACGAGCAACTGATCTCCTCCGCTCTCCAGGCCTCC